TCCTTTTTATTTCTAATACATCGGTGTACTATGTATTTAGTCGAAACAGGTAATGTTTCGAAAAATGATCGACCGCGGGGATGGAAAGTTTGGGGAACAACTCAAAGTGGATTCGGAGCGTACTGGTCAGCCAACGAGGAGTTGTATTCTACGGAGAATAGAAACTTCCATCGAATTTAATCTTATTACGGTTACCTTAGTTTGGTCGCAGTAGACACTCGCTGGAAAACAAAGCAATTGTCCATCGGCACGACCCCTTAACTATGGATTCTCCTCGAAACGTATCGAGATAGATCATGGATAGTAGCCGGAAGCGAGGGACCAGTCTCCGTTATCCTCTAGTTTCGTACTCGAATTACATCGGGATGATCTTCGTCGTCGCGTTCTTTCGATCTTCGTTGTTCACGAGTTATTTTGTTGCGCTCCGAACCAAGTTGTTCGAAGGCATGAATTTCACAACGTCAAACTGGGTTAAGTTCGGTTACACGTAGTTTGCAGCACCTGTAACAGAAATGCCGACTGAACGTTAAATCGACTGATTGCAACTTGCTGGAAACTATTCTTGATCGTTATGTTCCAGGCATTGTTAGCCAAACATCGCAATCTACTGTAGCTCGTGCGAAATTTAAATCGTTTTACAGAGCGATTCCGAATATACAGTTTAAATATAAATTGTACATTTATTTTCGTGGTATTTTTCGAAACTCGAAACGCAAGAAATTTGTTGGAACGAATTTACGGGTAATTTGCTCCGGGGGGAACGATTTAAATACGAACGATATAATTTAACGGGAGTAAACTCGCTCGCAAATAAGTTCATTTGCGTGACACCTGAAACTTGCAGTTCCGCAATGCAACGGGTCTCGCGGTCTTATTCCGTGGCTGTTGATCTTCTTAAGAACGCTAATCTGCCGGTATATATTAATTTGCCTAATTTCCTCTAGCTCAACGATAGTTGAAGCAGAAAATGTCATCGTCGGATCGTTGGGTTCCAGAGTCGACGGTGGACAAAACTTAAGTCACGATTCTCGCTTGGAACACGACGTTCAAGTTCCGTTCTTTTCGATCATTTGAAATGATTCGAAATTGCGAAATACGATATAAATCACGATGAAATCGGAGCATTCGTCTTTACAATGCGTTTCGTTGATTTTCGTAGAAGGAACGTGTTCATTGCGTGATTCGGAATACAATGGAGGGGCTCGAAACGTAATCTAGCAGCAGCAGATTATCCTAGAAACCTTAGGTGCAGAGATACGTAAAACAGAAGGAAGAGGATTCTCGTTATTTTCCACCCTCTTGCTCGAGTTACGCTAAGAAAACATACAATTTACGGGAATCTCCTGAACTTGAGTGTTTTCATTCCTGGTTAATTGATTTCTTGCCACCGGTTCGATATACCCTTCCTCTTCTGCTTTTTTTCATACCGTTTTCGCGTCTATAGCCATTGAAAAGTTATGGAAAACTCGGTTCTGTTCCCCCCCCCCCCCAATCTAACCGTATCGAATTCAAGTTTTGAAACATCGACTAGTAAACCCATTTCTCTCGGAAATCTTTCTTGAATTTACTTTTTCCTAGCATCTACTTACTCTCTGTCAGGTTCCCGGCTTCGAGTCTATGCGAAATGCGCAAATTGCACGAAACACTCGAACCATGCACGTAGAATGAAAATACCAAAGGCTGAAGTTCTCTTTGGCGAACGAATTACATACCGTTCATTTGTTTTGGACTAGTTTCACATACGCGTATAATAATTTCCGTGCAACTCCTTTGTTAAATTGCTGCAAATTTTACGGACACGTGTTCGTATATAAACCACAGGTAGCCCGGCAACTTCAAAATAAAGTGAAAAATATAATCGATACGTATCGGTACATATTATTTATTTATTTTCTTTGCATTTTCGAACGCAACGCGTAACGTGAAAGAGCAGTGGGCCGAAATGGGATAGAAAGAAAGGTGGAAATGTAATATTTCGGTTAAGGGCATCGTTGGAATCGATCTGTCGTGTAATTTTCATGAGGATTCGTGTATTGAAACTGGTTCAGTGATCAAAACATTTCCGGGACACGCGAGTAATGCGCTTTCGGGACAAGCATCGGCTACGTTCCCCGTTCAATCTTTCGGAGCGGTTCGCTGGCAACGAATGGACGCTAATAGTCGATGAGGTTTGGTAAATTCACGGGAATCGGAATCGATTGGATGCCAGTCACGGGTGCTGGCCGCACCAAAAATTCTCAGATCGCGGTCACCGCCACGGCTCCTCTCATCCTATAGAACGAATACTTGGAATAGAATCCCGGAACATTCTTGACGTCCGTGACGTAGCTATCGAATTAACGGTGTGTACAAAACCGGCGAAACGACGGTTCCCCCTTTCCGGTTCGCCGTAGTTGTCGGTTTCTCTGCAGGCAGTTTGCTTCTACACATACCTGCGGTAGTGTCAGTTTTGCAGGTTTCTTCGACAACTATTCCGAACTCTCCAAGCAGAGTACGACTCCCGTCGATTACATCGGCTGCACCGGCGATGTCGTCGTCGTCGCGGTGCTTTCTTTGCAACCGAATTCCACCGTCGACGCGAAATCTTCCCGTACAATGAGCAATGACTTTGGTAAACGGGGGATTCCTGATTCTCCCGTTGGCGGGCTTGGCAACCGCGTGGATGACAGCCGATACGCGTGCAACAGTACCGATATCAGCTACCATCGATCTATTATATCGACTGTATGGCGACATCTAGCCTCTACAACGCAATAGTAGATGAGAATATTTCAATTTGCGGTGTAATAATCAATAGTGTGGTTCAGATTGTTCGACGTGGACACAGATCCCTTGAATCGAAATTCAGGATGGTTGGGAAATTGTGCTGCAACCAGCGTAGGAGGGTTCTTCGTATAAAATTTAAACCGCGACGGTAACAGCTTCGTGGATCGTATAAAAAAACGATTATAAACTGTGATCAGAGTCGAAGAATTTGGCATAGAAACTTGTCATAGAAATTTGAATAGCCTGAATAACGCCCTGACAAAACCAGCTTCTGAAATAATCGTGGAGACCGTATTTGCCGCGATAGCCATTGGTCATGTCGTTTGCAAGCCAGCATTACTGCAAAAGGTGGTCATTTCGAATAATACCTCTATTTTTCTTTAGTCGTTAACTGTTCGAATAAACGCTGATCGGTTAGAAACGACAATATTTCTTATCCTTTTTTAGTAGCCAAATGTTTCTAACGAAACAATGTCCAGGGTTTACGGATAAGATAGAAATAAACTTTTATCGCGTTTAGGTTTCCCGCAAAACGCGTTCCTTCCAAGTTACAGTCAGTTTTATACTTGTATAATTCTCGCTGGAAACTGACCTAGCGTAACTGCTTCCACTCAGCTGTTTGGTATCAACGTTTTATGCTTCATGTTTAGGGTTCCGACCTGTCCTACTTTCGGATGTTTGTGGCCCACGTCCCATCTTGATACTTAAACGTCCTACTTCCAACAGTCTTTCATAGAAAAATTCTAAAAATTCCGGAGTAAGCGGATCGTTGACGAAAACTATCGACTTTCGTTTATTCTCTATAAATTCCTATTAAACGTCCGACACAGGTGTTTTGGAAAACATTCGGTATTCGATATCACGACATCGGGTCACGAATGTCGTGCTATTTTAACGACTCGAAAGAGTACCTTTTCATTGGTATTAAAATAGAAGGCAGGTTGATCGATAGTCCGGGCCTCGACTCGCTTTCAAACTTGGAAAAAATTTCCTTCGGCTCGACCATTGAAATTCAATCTTTGTTCGCTACAGATGTTCGAGGAAGCTTAAGAAACTTTTGATCCCTGTTCTCAGTTTGAAACAATAAATAAGCGAGGGCAAGGAACAAAGTTTAGTACAGCTGTCATCCGTGTGCTTTCCTCTTCGTTTTTCTTCCGGTCCTTTTCCCGAGTTTTCACCAGATTATTCCAGATTTTCTTCAGAGACCCAGCGTCGATTAGACTACGCGTGGAAATTTGACTGTTTCTTTGCTCGGGAATTCGAGCCTCGAATCAGGGAACCAGACGAGCAAGAAGCGACAATATTATAGCATGTAATAAGAATAATTGTCGACGATGTTTTATGCATCGCGGTGATTTCGCGTTCAGCTCTTTAAAGTAGTCGCGTTCGCTAAACTTTCTTGTAGCGGGAATCTTAAATCTTTAACGGAGCAATTCCTTCTTCTTCGAGTTCTTCTCCCTCTCTCTCGATAAAGTTCGTAACAACCGTGATAGAATTTAGTTTTACGCAAGCGGCAGCGAGATCGTATTTCCTTGGTTACACTTATCGAGCAATTTTTATTGTTATCCGTTGGTACAAAGTAGTAATTTTTAACGAGGGCCATATGCTCCGTACCTCCACTGGGAAACGCTGTATTTCTTAAGGGGATACACCACCCGGACGGCTTATAAAAACAGATGAATTTTAAGTCTGTTTCCTGAGATAACTATCACGCGGTATAACGAGATATTTTCTGTTCGCGTTAAGCAATATTTTACCTACATATTCTATTAAAATGTTTGATAGAATCATATCAACTTGCTTTAAAAGAAAACCATGCACCGTGTTCACCGAAATGACAATGTACTTAAAATTTTAGTTTCATTATATCTGCACGCCTAAATATCATAATTAGAATTTGCGTTCGATACGCGCGAGCGTAATATTGCATATTTCCAATGTCGACAATTTGCGAGGGAAAACGTTACCAATTAAAGCCTTTATTGCTCGCACCAAGAGCAGTATGTTTGACGTCCGTATTTAATTGACAAATTTTTCCTTAACCGAAACGTAGAATTAACGGCGAACTAATTAAGCGACGAGCACAGGGCAGACATTTACGCGTTACGTTGCATGGGAAAGCAATTCGAAATGAGATTTCGTCTCGTGCGTTTTGCTCGTCGTGGCCCTCGTTCGATGCACCCCTGTTTTCTCGAGATCGATCTAACGAGAGCACCCGTTTGGTTTTGTTTCAGATGAATCACCGCAGCTCATCGCAACAGCATTCGCCAGCCGATTCGCTAACAGCCTCGACACGGGTGAGTTTCTATTCTGATCCCGGGCCGGCTATTTAAGTACACGACACAGGAAAGTTTCGGCGCGTATCGTGGCGACGCAGAAAGGAACGGCCGGCACCGACGAGGGGTCGAGTTGGTTGACCCCACGTCTAGCGACCCTAACGCGGCTCGTGTGTCGGATATCTTGAAAATCGCCTGGGTCAGGGCGTGGTGGCCAGCAGGTCCGCAATCAGACCGACCCGCGAGCCTCCCCTCTGCTCGTTCATCATACGGCTCGCTCAAAACATCGAATTAAAATCGCCAAATTCTTTCGACTCGGTTTTCTTCGTCGTCGCTTGCGCTCTTGGCCGTTCTGATTAGTGGAAAATAATACCCGTAACGCGATAGCCCGGGTGTTCGCGTTCATATTGCGGTCGTGTGGGTTTCGTGTAGTTGGTAAGCGCGCGAGCGTGCACCGTGTACGTGCGGTCCGGTTTATCGCGTATGTCCTCACACGGTTGATATATGATTGCGTTGTGTGCGTGCTAGCCCCGGCACACATGTGTCTCTATGATCTATGCGCCCGTAGTTTGTCTCGTACGCTGCTCGGTGTATATCTACGCGAGCGTGTGCGCGTGAATTAGTGACTGCGTATACGCGATATCTGTACGCCATTTCATGGCTGTGCCTGATGGAAACGGGACTCGTGTTAGCCTTCCTGTACTCGCGCTGTGTACTTTTGTACGTGCCTTGCTGGTGCACGCCGGGGCACTTAAAACCTCCACGCTGAATAACTCGTTTACTTTTACCCAATAGATAAAAAGCGCCTGGGTTTCCACGCTGGCTTAATTCCGATATCGTTGCTTTTTTTTTTAATGGACGCGTAAAGGGAATATGGGATATGATATCGAATGAACCCCTTCAGGGTCTTAGAAATTCGAAGAAAAGAAAAGCGAGAGTTTGATTTCAGAGCTCAGTGTACACGCGTGATCGAGAGACACACGTGCGTTGTTGGTTGACAGGAGAAGCGGAGGCGACGCGTGTGTTTGCCTGCGTTGACTCGAACTCTGCGCACGAACTCTGGCTGTTCGACGTGCGCGTGATTGCGTGTACGCGTGCATAAGACCCTTTGTACTCGGGGATTCGGGGAAGCTGCCTTTGCACTACCGGGCGAAGACACGAGCCAATCAATCCCCATCTGCTTTCGGTTTCGCCTCCCCTACGTGCTCGCTACCCTAGCTACCCTCGCTCTCTCTGCGCTACGTCTCTAGAATTTCGATGATCTTCGCCTGGAAACAGATTTATCTCGCCTGCTTTCCTTTCTCTTCGCCAACAGTGGCTTTCGAGTTCGCTTGGACCCTTCATCGATTCCGTGGAGATGCTCCGTACGCGGCTGGCATCGAAGCTACCCCCGTGTGTTTCTATCTCAGCCGTGTTTCGCGTGCTGGTAATTTTATTCCGCTTGCACCGGATGCACCTAGCAGTGGCTCTTCCTGATACTCGTTTTCTGGAACACCCTGCCACGCTCGATTATCGCTACACCCCCTTCGTTCCTCCAAGATTTCACCCGCGACATCCAACGCCCTCGGGCGCCATTCATCCTCGGTTACGTTTTTAATCTAGTCGCCTAGTTTCGAGGGTCCTTATCGACCCTGATCCGTCGTTTGTCATCGCGTCAACGGCCAATAGCTCGCGAAAGCCACCCCGGGTTTGGCTGCGTTCCGAACAAGTTAATAGCTTTTTTGCTACTCGGCCTGTATTATCGGCCTTTTCTTGGCGAGGATTTCCAGCTTAAAGGGAGACGTCGTTAATCTCGGTGAAACCAGATTCGGGAAGGTTAAGGTCGAACTTTCGAATCGGTGGCAAAGTACCGCGTTAACGGAGAATCGCCTAATTTTCACGAGATACTCCGGAACCCTTCTTTTATCTTATCTCCCCTTCAAAGGGACGCGTACGATCGAAAATTTACCGCCTCCTGTCGCCCTTGGTGACCTTTCTCAAACGCTGCAATCAATGTCTGCGCCCCGACCTCGCAGGTGTATAATCGTGCCCGCGGTTACGGCCAACTCGCAGCTCGCTGCGCTATAGTTTTGCAAAACCCGTCGTGTGCAGGTATACAGGAAACCAGAGACAACGAAGCGAACGACCTCGTAAAATTCGACTCGATTTATGTTATGTTTCCTTCTCCGGAACTTTTCCCATCGCGTTCCCTGCAACCTTACTATAAACAATCCTCTGTAAATAGTCTTAATCGACACCGTTGTCGTTCAGTGTCCTGTTCTCGGTAAAACCAGCAGAATATACACGAGTTTATTCGAACGAATTAATACTAATTGAAAGTTTTAACGCGTACAGTAGGGCTCGGTTAAATATGAATATTTCATTCCGAATAGATGAAACAGAATCATCTCCGTCACTGTTCATGTTTTTTCAACTCGAGCGGCCAACAGCTGTGAAAAAAGAGGTTGCACGTCAAAGCGATGCGCGACAGCAATATGTGTATGCAAACCAACAGTTTTTATATATTTTTTGTATTTTCATCCTTCGGTAAAAATATCGTCAATGGTTCGGCAAGAATTATTTCGCAATCATTTCCGAGAAACGTTGAAATTAATGTCACCGATTCGGGGAATCGCCGACAAATATTTGTCGGCGTGCAATTTGAAAAACACGGAACAAAGTCACTTCGTTGTGTACAAGGTTTGCTCAAACATTCTATTTTGACAATTAACGGAATAATTTTTACATCGTGCTCGAATAAAAATTTCAATAAATATTTGATCGCAGTGCTTTGGAAACTAGAGACATATACGCGTTGAAATCGGAAATTTTTAATAAATTTCATGCTTGATAGACAGGCGCGCAATTTACGCCCAATATTAACTTTCCGCGCGGATGGAAAGGAAAAAAGAATTAAAAGCAACAGAGGTGTCAAATATACCGAAAGCGGTAGAATTTAAATTTCACGCAGGTTCTTTATGAAAACTATTGATAAGCGTCGTTCGATGCTCGCGAAAAATTGAATGAGAAGCTTAAGTCTTGAACTTTCGAGGGATCAATAGTATTTCGCGCGTGACTAGGTGATATTCGACGAACACAGGATTTTTATCGCAATTTCCCGCGTGGCCCAGATTTCTCTCATCTTTCATTTTATCATCCACATTTCGATTATACGTCGACGCTAGGCGAATATGGCGTGGACCGAGAATGAGTAAGGTGCACGATCTTATTAAATTCACCGGGTATTGTGCTCCGCTTCTGCACTCGCCTAACCGAACCAGATATCGAGTGCTATCCTTTATTTACATTCGATTACAATAGCTGTTTGCGGATCTTTTATCGAAAATAGACGAGACACACTCGCTTGGTTTACATTCTTAAATAATATCTGGCGATTTTTGAATATGGATCAAAGTTTATTATAATGTATACCGATTTTGATCGGTTCATCGATCGGAATCGTTTGATCGTTGGAGGTAAAAGTATGTCAACCAGTGGCCCGGTAGAAAACACTGTTTATGAAATGGCGGGACAGGTGGGTGGTAGATCGTTACGCGTGCGATCGTCGTCGCCTCGGATCGATCTACTCCTGACCGTCTTTTCCTCCCGATCGGCCGGAAGGCTGCTGCCAGGACGAAGAAGCGTGAAAGCCGATTCTGCTCCCGTGCCGTAAATCACCACTGGCGGATATATAAAAGCGATTATCGAAACTTCGCTAATGCGATTTTCCTGCCGTCTGCTTCGCGGCCCGGTGCGCTGTGCATTAGCGAATGGCTGGCTTGATATAATGGATTGATAGCGAGACGCACTGATCACACGGATATTATTATTATTTACATACGACGAACGACAGGTAATCGCGATGCAACCAGCGAAATGTAATATCCGCGACCAAGTTGAAAATCGGTGAAACGCAGATCGCTTATTATCGATTAGAAATAATTGGAAACTGATCGTACCAGATTCGATCGAGCTTAATGCATGCTCGCGGATCTGGGTCAAATCCTACGAAAGACAAAACCGTGTCTTATCGAGGTACAAGTAAACTGTACGACAAGAAAAATAAGTCTTAACGACTAGAAAACGTCCGGGGAAACGAGGAATGGTCGTTAATCATAATATTTGTCCTCGCCAAACAAATAAGGTGTTTTGTGCGAAATAATGTAGATTGGAAAGGTTTCCACTGTAATTTTTTCAACGGGACTGTGAAAAGCCGATTGCATGGCGTCGTCGATCACCGGGGTCGGGTAAAAATGCGATTGTTGAAACTTGGCTAACGTAATTTCGCCGACGTGGATCCCTCGCCGCCTGTCATCTGCACTTCAATTACCCGTCAATGAAGGCCTCTCTATAAAGGAGATAACAGCGGACGGTTATCGTGAAAGGATAGCGAGCCCACCAAGTGCACGTCTCTGACCATGCGCCGCGAGTTCAAAGCAAACTGCAGTCTGTCACACAACACCGTTATCTTCGTGGAAATTAATTTTACCCACGAAAATTTATGCAGGATGTTCACCTGTCGTAACAGTAATTCTTTTAGGGGATGATTTCTTGACAATTTTCCTATAAATGCATAAATATCCGTAGACTATAGTAAGCGAAATACGGGGGAAGATGAGGGATATAGAGTACATTAAATATACACGCTCGTGTGTTTCTTACAGAAGCGATAAAAGACACTGAATTAAACATATTGTTTCCTTTGCATAAATGCGACAAAGGCCATACGGGACATTCCCATTGAGGAAATTACTCTTGAAGGGAACTATTACTATATAACTTCTTTACGCGTAATAGTATGTTAAAATACGGATAGGAATACGATGATCCGAGACTGAGTCACGCACTCGACGTTTAACGTATAAAACGAACGGGGATACACGAAAAGTTCCCGAGTTTTATCTCCGAAGGACTTGGATTAGATTCCAGGAGCAAAAAGGTCCCAGGAGAAAAGTTCCTTATGCCAACTAGAAACTAGAGTCTGCCGGGACTTCTGGACCCGTTCCTTTATGACTCGGATAACGACGAGAGGGCTAGTTATT